CACCACCACCCTCAGAACAAATATAGAAATCACGAGGCACACAACCCAGCGCACTCAGGCCTAGGACGAACCCTAATATCCTACTCTTGTTCAACTATATTTTCTCCCAGAAGCACCCAGGCCCGGGCTAAGCAAAAGCAGGACCATGACCTATGTCACGTTGCCGGGAGCAAGTGGGGATGGAGGTGGAGGGGAAAGAGGGTAACGGGTGGGACGGTCTCCACTTCGGCCCCAGCAAGACTATCTCTTAGTCACTTGGTCTGAAACCCCAATATCTAGCTCGCCAATGGCTTCCCCCCTCCTCCCCAGAATCCTCACTCCTGTGCCCAAGACCTTTGCACCTAGGCCTCTTCCTACCAGTCAAAACCCAGTCCCCAGTCTGAGTTTGAAACTGGAGAAATCAGAGATCTCCTGCTTGGGGGTTTTAGCCCCTTTGAGGGTGGGTAGAAAGAGGAAGGAAAGCGGAGATAAGATAAAAGTGATTCTCGAAAATTTGGGGTTTTCCTTTCTAAGCTGTGAGTTCAAAAGATTTCGAACTGAAAAAGAATTTGGAGGTCATCTAGTCCCCAGTTCTTAACTTTTTTTTTGCGTTGTCATTGACTTCTTTGGCAGTCTGTTGAAACGTATGGACTTCTCAGAAGGTGGTTTTTAAATGCATAAAATACATGGGATTATAATGGAACCCAATTATACTAAATAAAATTACAGAAAAAATTTTTAAATAAGTTCATGTATTCCAGGTTAAGAAACCCTGATCTAGGCCAGCTCGCTTTTTTTTTTTTTTTTTGAACAGTTTAGGAAACAAAGATGTAGTAAGATTAAGGGACTTGCCCAAGGAGAAGAGATAGAATTTGAATTCAAGTCCTCTGACTCCAAAGCCAGGACTATTTCCTGTTACCGGCCGTCTTATTCCACCCTCATTTTACTGGTGAGGAAACTGAGGCCTTTCGACAGGAAGTGTTTGACCAAAGTCACACTGGTAGTGGGAGAACCAGGATTTTGATCCCAGGTCCTCCAATTCCATTCCCAATACCTTATGCCATACTTAAAAGGAAAAAGAAAACTTCACGGTACACAATATGTGCCTTTCCTTGTCTCCAGAGCCTTACCCTGGATCTGGACCTAGGCAAAAGTAATATGAATTGCATTCCACCCCTTACCCCCCTCCCCCACCCCCGAATACACAGACTCCCTTCCTCGGGCAAACTCTGGGTTTCCTTGAACAGCAGCAGCTTCTCAGACACACTAATAGTGTCACTTTACAAGGCACCGAACCCTTCCTGGAAGCGTTGAAAAAATGATCACTGCTTTGAAAAAGAAAGAAAATCGTACTGCCTAGGGAAGAGCAAGGAGCTGCAAATTTACCTCACGCTGACTCAGTCCACACAGCAGATGGTGGCAGAGCCTGCAAGGGAAACGACCTACCCATTTTTTTTTTTTTTAAAGTACTTCCTAATACCAGCAAAGGCTCGTCTTTCAGTACAGGCACTTCGTTCCTGTGAAAATCTATCCCTGTCTCTGAGAAGCTCATTTACGCACATTGAGCGGACTGTTTTTACTCGCTGGTGGCTTTTGCCACTTGAGACGGGAGAGGCCACGAAACGCGCGCAAACCAGACCGTAAAACACGCGCATGAACACACCCAACCCCATTACACGATGCACTACAGTTCGAGTCCCTCAAAAAATAAATAAAAAACAAAAGCAACAACCCCAAAACAAAGCAAAACAAAACAACCACAACCAGCAAAAAACAACCGTCGAGTTCTGGGGACAATCCACCACTTTTACTTACAACTGCGAAGGTTCCTCCTCTGCGTCTCACTCCAAAATACAAGAGAATTGGGGATAAACAAGATTGGGTTACATTAAAAAAAAAAAAAAAGTGGCGTCTTATGTGAGGAGCTCTACTTGTTAAATATGAACCATAATTTGTACTTTTCTTCTTGTTGTTTGGCATTTAAGGGGGTGAGGGAGTAGGGGACAAAGGAAAAAAAATCAGAAATAGCAGTTTTGCTATGTAAGACAAAACAAAACTCCACGGAGCGCCGTCTAGTGGTAGTTGAATTGTCCAAAGAAGGCAAACGATCTGCACTTGGGAATGAATGTCTTCTTATATTTGGTACTTTTTAGTCTTCTTTATGTCTGTCAAACTTAAGGGGGAAATATTATAGCCTTTGAGAAACTGGAAAAAAAAAAACATGGTATCAGAAACATGGGGATTATACAGTTAGACCAAAGTTTCAAGACTTGGCGGATTCTTAGCACCTTACTAACAAAATGAGTGGCAATCACCTGCATGAAAAGAGGCGTTTTCTCCGATCAGAGTATGGGCGAATCTCTGCAAAACCTCTAGCTGAAACCTAACCGTATTCCTCTCCTTCTGCTCTACCCGTACAATTGGATATTGTCACTTATATATTAGTTACCCTGAGAGAATAAGGCCTGAGACCCAAATGGACACCGATTCAGGTTTCCATTTAACTCCTAAGCACCCTTAGACACTTCTTAACATAAACTGATTAGTTTTTAAATGGACCTTTCTACCCTGGGTACAGATCAAGAGCTTTTTTTTTTTTTTTTTAAAGTAGACAGTAGCTTCAAGAAGAGTAAGGCATTTTCTGTATCTGTCTTTCCCTCCAAAATTAGTGCTCTTGCCTCAGAGACCACGAGTTAGTGAAAGACAATGATTGGTATCCACAACCTAAAGCTTGTCTCAATATTACTTTAGCAAGCTTTTTTTTTTATTAACTGCATCCACTCTATACACACACACATGCATGTATACTTGAATGCATACATACGTACATACACAAGCATATGCCAGCCCATTCCCATCACTTTTTCCCTTTTCCTCTCTGAATTTTAAAATCAACCTGATTTTAAAACGTCTGCTTCTGCTTGCTTTGTCTCAGAATTTCTGTGAGCGTCAGTTTGAAAAGATGGGGGTTAAAGGGGAAAGAAAGATATACTCTTTTCTGAAAAGAAAAAAAGTAAAGGAACATGATGAAAAGTTTGGAATCAAATATTTGCAAATAAAAAGGATAGGGGAATTGAGTCGTGATTGGTCCTGGGGCAGGGGGAAACAGACAGCTAGATGTCCCATGGCTGGTTGAGATTCCGCCTGATCATTTAAAATTAATCAATTATAGTAACTGAGTTTTCTTCAAATGGTAAACTGTTTTAAAACACCATGTTAAAGTTTTAGCAGATTTATTTTTACTTGTTATACACAGACGATACAAACGAGCAAAAACAAAACATTTCTCAGTGGAGCTTGTACTTGTATAAATTATTCAGTTCACAGACAAAACATAACAAATATAAAAATCACAACATTAGATTTACAGAAGAGTCAAAAATATACACACGTTTAGACCCTGAATTGCTATTAGGAAAATCCCCCCCATGGACTGGAATCTAGATTGAATATTGTGTATTATTATGCATATTTCACGTTATAATTTAAAATACCAAAAAAAAGTTGTATAAGTTTGCTACACAACATTCGAAATCCTACTAATCTACTTCCAGGGGGATTAATGTTCCTTATCAAATGTAACAAGACTTACAAGAGGAAAAAAAATCAGTCTTACTCGCACCAATGCTAGTGTTTTTTCCAAGGAACTCAGATTTCAGCTGTTTTCTAGGTTAGAGGGAAAAATCATTTTCAAAACTAAAATGCAGTAAAATATACAACTCACAAGATTCATCTTCACTGGACTACACTATAGTTACCAACAATTCAATCATCTATATCGTTTTAGAGTATTCATTACAAAGATTTACAGCATATAAAGAGGGAGATAACTGAAGAGAAATTCGGAAACAGTTTGTCAGCATATTTGGCACCTGCACAGACCAGTAATGGATTTGGCACTTTGGGAAAAACAAATAAGGCAAAATAATATTGCTGATGTCGAGCTATTCGATTTAGGAAGTGAAAAGAAAAACCTTACAAATTCAGTTAACTTTGCGTTTTGGAGGCATCATGCCATTTAATTAACTTTCCTATAAAACAGATTCCCATTCTTTATGGGAGTTAGGGTGAGTAGGTACTCCTTAGCTGCGTGCACTTAGGGCACTGAGTAAATTATTCCATGCAAGGGATTGCAGAGAAGTGAGAAACCCATTACTCACGGCCATAGTTGTTGGCCATTTTACATTACCAGAGCCTCTAGAATAGTTAACCATCTCTCAAGGAAAATAAATAAATAGATAGATAGATGATAGATAGATAGATAGATAGATAAATAAATAAAGTTAAGCATGAACTGGTTTTGTGCCTTCACAATAAGAATAAAAACTAGCCATTCGTTACAATAAATTAACACTATGTACAGACATTTCACAGGCTTTGTTCCACTAAAATTATTAACATCCCTACCATCCATCCATCCATTCATGGATAAGGAAGGAAGCGCTATATAGGCTCCAGGTTCTAGAGTCAGGCGTCCTACTTATTAATGAGGGTACGGGTGGGGAAAGGTGTGGAAAGGATTGGAACTGCTGCATTCCTATAGCACTTGCTTGGCTTTTTTCTGGCAAAACCAAGAACTGTCCAGATCTCCCAAAGGTAAAGGATTTCATTACAAGTAAAAGGGGAAGAAAAAAAAAGTAGTGGGCCAAAGAAGGGGAGAAGAGAGAAGGCAGGATAGAGACTTAGATAAGAACAACTTCTTGGAAGGGAGGAAAGGCAGGGATATTTAAAGGGGCAAAGAGTTTACAACTAAAGTTGAAGATCAGTGCTCTAACTGCAGAGGTTGCTGTGAAAAAAAAAAAAAGAGGTTAAAAATACATTTGGAGACCTGTATTTATTCACTGAAGACGGCAATGGTAGGGCCCAAAGAAAATGTACGAGATGCGGAAGGTGGGGTTGTGAGTGAGTGGAAGAGGAAAGGGAAGAAGAAAGTTGTGTCGGTCGGGGTCTGGCCTTGGGGGGAGATGAAAGGGAGTCTTGGGGCTGTAGCGGGGCCTAGGCGGTGCTGCCGGGTGGCAAGTCTAGCTGTGAGAGTAGAAGCCGTAGTAGCCTATGTCCTTGGCGCAGTTCTTCTCACAGTCCCTTTGGGTCAACACTTCGCTCTTGAGGGGAGAAGAGCTCTCGGACACCGGAGTGTCAGACGGCGAGATACGCCTCCGCTTGGCCTGCTCGTAAATCCCAGAATCAGTGGAGTCGATGGACTTAATGGACGACGGGGTTTCGATCCAGCTGGAGTCGGACAAGTCTTTGGGCTTGGAGTCCTCGGAGCCCGGGGGCAAAGGGGAGCGCTCCGTAGCCAGGCTCTCCGCCTCTTCGCCTAGGTAGGGGTTGCTGCTGGCCATGCGAGCGGCCGCCGCTGCGCTGTTAGGCCAACACGACAGCATGGAGCTGGACTTGCTGCAGTACTGCGGAGGGCTGCGGGCCCCCCAGCCCGACGGGTCTGCGTAGTAGCCCAGGGGCCGGCCCGTGCAGCCTGCAGCCTGAAGCGGGAGAGCCTTGACGCCCGCCGCTGCATACGAGAGCAAGGTGGCCGCGTTGCCTGCAAAGTCAGTGGCCGTGTCGTAGGCCGAGGCAGCGAAGTCCAGCCGGTTGTTGGCTGGCGTGACGAACCAGCGCTGGGGCGACGGGGCCCCAGGGTCTTCGGCCTGCTGGGGCGACAGGAGCCCATTGGTGTGCGGCACGCTTCGGTCTGTGCCTGGGCCTGGGCCGCCTCCGGCCCCCGGGTGGAAGCGAGCCTTGGCGTAGTTGCTTACGAACTGGTCCTGCAGGAAGGAGCCGGCCATTGCATAACGGGCCCCCGGCACTATCTGCGAGCGGGGAGAATCGTTGGGCGAAGGGGTCAGGCGGTCCATATCGCAGCCCGTGTAGATCCTATCAGGAGGGAGAGACAGAAAGAAACGGGAGGAATGGCACGCAGTGTCCATGGAAGAAGAGGAGGAAGAGGGCCCCAGGGTCAGTGAAAGAGAAGGAACTCCAACCTCCTCCCTCCCCTCCCCTCCCACCCACATAAGTATACATCCCTCCAGTGGCCGTCCCCAGTTTCAAGAAGCTATGTCCTTCGGAGACTTGGAGTGGAGGTGAGAAGGCCAAGGGAGGTCATAGATCCCTTCATCCTCATCCTAGGAAATCACTGACCCCAAAGGAAGGGAAAAGGTCTGTGAGCATTGGCATAAGGAAGGCGCAGGGGTGCAAAACTAATACTACCTTGTCCCTCTTCTCCCAGTCTCTTTGTCACGCAATACAGTCCTTCCAAAATATGCAGTTCAAGGGCAAAGGAAGCTAATGGAAGGTCTTCTCTCGCCCTTTGTTTGGTCAAAACATATTTATGCATATTCACATAGCCAGGCTGATTGGGGATTAATAGGCCTTCTCTGTGTGCTCAAGGGGTTTCTACACTCTGGGGATACTTCCTAAGGTTTTGAAAGATATTTTAAACAAAGGCTCTCATTTCTCCCCCCCCTCCTCCCACCCTTTCCTGTTACTTTCAATAAGTCCCTTAGAAAGTCATCCACACCTTCTTAGAATTCAAAGGCATGCACACTCATCTCTTCTTTATCTTGTATAAGTAATATAAGAAATATAAATGTGTGTGCCTCCAGTAGGGATTATTGAAGGAAAAAGCTCCAGCCAACCTCCAGAGTATGAGATTACTGCTAGAATCTTGAAAGCACTCTTTAGTCTTCTATTGCTTTCTCTTTACCCTACACACCCACCAAAACAAATAGAGAAGAATCATTACTTACATAGAGAATTCTGAAACTATACAAGGGAAATTATTTAAAGTTTTTACAAATAAAAATATTTCCCTCACCCATCATCCCACACACATTCTTCTTCTTCCTGGCCTTCCATCTTACACAGTTAGGAGCCTTGAGTCTGGCTGTCAAAAAATAGAGGCTGAAACCTTTTGCTATCCAACTAACCCCAGGCAATCCCAAAAGTCTTTGACTGGTAGGCTTGGGTCATTGGCAGCTACTGTGCTGGCCTACAGTGGTATGAATAACTTTCGTTAGAGAATAAGCCTGGGCCTCTAGGCTAATAGAACCTCATTAGAGACTATTTGAGGGAGGAAAAGGCTGTTAGATGAATAGGAATGTATCCACCTACAGATCAACAAAAAGTCCTCCACTTTCAGTTGACTAATGCAGGAACCTAAAATGCTCATCAATCCATCTTTGAAGCAGTTGGGGGTGGGGTAGTTAAAGGAGAACAGTTTTTTCATATCTCAGTCCCATTTGAGGGAGAGGATCTTATTGGTCACAAAATAACTGCTGAATCCTTCAAAGACAGCACCAAAATTGACACTTGATTTTTCAGAGCTGTGCCTTAAAAAACAAACAAAAAAACCAATAAATAGTTAAAGGGAATATTCAGAATTTGAGTACAAGGGAGGAAGAAGGAAAGAAAGCAATGTTTCTTTTTTGCTGAGGAAAAATTGTGTAGTTGTAAAAAATACCTTTTCAAAGTAAACATCAACTGATTTAAAAATCAAAGTGGTGAAAAGAAAGATGAAGAGGTTCCAAGCAAGTTCCTTTTAAAACAGATTTCTGCAACATTTAGCCCATTAAGAGTTGGGGAGAGGAGGGAGCAGTAAGAGATATAAAAGGGCTCCTCTGCTTTGGATACTCAACATCTGTAATCCCTGTCTTGAAATGTAGTTGTATTTCAAAAATTAGAAATAAGGGGCCTGGAAAGGAACAAAAGTAAGCAACTATGCCTGTCTTCTCTATTTAATGAGATACAGAAACAGTGCTGCCAAAAGTTAGTTTAACCATACACTGACAGTTTAACTAGGTCTGAACCCCTTGGGAATCCTGGGCCCATTTGCAACACTAAATGCATTCCAACACATGCTAATAAAATTAAAAAAGCTAGGATTCTAAAAGTCTCTCCTCTAACATCCCTGGTCACCAACATTCTGGATTTACCTATCTTCTATATTTTGGCTAAAACCCTTTGCAAACACTGTCCCATGACTCCTATTTTAGAAAGTGGGGGCAAGAATATGGGAAGTACATTTACTTTGGAATAATATTTATGACAAAAGAATAATACTTCTGGTGGGCTTTTTTTTAAAGGAGAAGATGAAGCAATATGTATCATTATCAGTCACCTTTCTCTAGGCCCACAGTTTCCTAAACTGCTTCTTACAGGAGAAGCAGTTCAAGTACAGATTGGGTTTAGGGGTTTAAGGAATGGTGGCATCTGCCCGAAGCTGGAAATGAAGCCGCAGCCCTGTTTCGTTTTTCCCTGCAAATATAATCTGATCCTACGCAGAGGGCGGCTACAACTTCGTGGCAGTATCCCAGGCACTGAGAGCAAGCCATCTAATTAAGACTTGTGTCTTTCCCTTATATGGTCAAGGAAAAAATAGGGGGAATCCCCACACTCCTTTGAAATCTAGATTTAGAACTCATTATCCACCGCCATCCAAACCATGAGCCACGAAGCCTGGTCCCCTACACTAATGCTCTGATACAGAATGAGCTCAGAAAGGACTTAGTTTAAAATGAAATTTTGCCCCCAAAGAAGGAAAAATTAAGACAAGGGAGAAAAATATGAAAGGGGGAAAGAGAAGGGAAAGGAATAAACACAAGTTTCTAAGTCACAACCAGAAAGTAAAAATTTAGGGGAAAAGTATTTCCTTTTGACGCCATTTAAATGCGCACCAAATACCGCTTCACATCCTTCCCCAAACGCAAACTGCTAAAGCAAGCATTTCATTACATTAGCTGTAGGCTGCTACACATTTTTATTTAGTCCACAATAATGCACAGGAAATGCTATTACAGGAAACGTGAGTGGGTAAATAATATGTCACATATACCAATAAAACTCTTACAACTGCCAAAGCAACGTGCAGTTTCGGGCAGAATCCCGGACAGGCTTCAGATACAGACAATCTGAGCTAAGCATCTGCAGCCACATACACAACAGGACTGCACCCAGAGGCAAAGCTATCTTCTGCCACCCAAGCCAAAGTCCCAGCACCAACTGAACAACTTCTCAATTCAGATAAAAGCTAAAGATGGAAACTCAAAACACCTGGACCGTACCAAAATATAACCAATTTAAGAAAACCTCTGCAAAGATGGGGAGGACAAACAAAAATAGGGAAAGAAAAAAGAACCACCACAATCTCGTCCTCATACACTTCAGCTCCTGAAAGCTTTTTATTTGGCAATTCTACAGTTTTATAAACTGATAAGCGTTCCACTTAATAGTGACCCCGAAAAGTGAAATAACAGAGAAATAAATTTACTTACGTGTCATAGTTATCCCGAAAGCCCTTTGCGAAGGGATTGTGATCTATTTTCAGTTGCGTAATCTGAAGAGAAAAAGATCAATATTTATTTGCCAAGTCAGAGAAATTGTACTTGTGAGAATGTATAGTCAGTCAATTATTACAAGAATAATTTCATTAGATGCACGTCTTCCCTTAAACACTTGGGGTGAGGAGGGTAATGGGAAAGTTTAAATTAGTAATAAATACAATTAAACGAAGGCCCAAATTAAATGCATGTTTTTTAATTCGTTCCTGCTCAACGTTTATAGAATTTTAAATATATATATATACATATATATCAAATATGTGTTTAAACAATATATTTCTCAGACAAAATTATTTCCAGAGAGAATGAATTTATGACCAGATGTTGAATATTTGAAACCTTTTGGGGTCATTTTAAAAGGCTGTGGGATGGGTTAGGTATAGCAGCTGCAGGATCAGAGAAAATTCATTTTACACATTTAATCTAAGTTTTACTTAAATGTAAGTACCTCCTAATAAAATGGAAGTTTTAGTATATCTAAAAAGCACCATCACCCCCATCCCAGACAACAGCAGCTATTTCTAGCTTTTAAAAACTTGATTTTAAAAATGCTGTATTGAACCAGTGGCGTTGATCCCCCCCCTCCCCATAATATGTCTTATTATAGTTTTCACATGCCTCTGTGTATGTATGTATGTGTGTGTGTGTGAATGTTTCCTAAGTCTCCCAGGGTGCTGATTGTTGTTCGATTTAGCCATCAGTCCTGCCCACCTAGGAAACCGTTTCAAAGGCGTTTTGATTTTCTGTAATAACGATGGCGCTTGCCAAGAATGAAAACGCAGGGGAGAAATCTGCTTGTTTTGCAAAGAGAGAGAAATTGAGGGAACAGGTTTTTTTTTTTTTCTGTTCTTGTTTACAGACCAAATTCTAACTCCCCGAATTAAGGCCGCCAGAAATCCTGGATGCCACCTAAGTACCAAAACCGGCCCCCGAAGTCAGAGGCAATAAACAATCGTCTTCTCCTCCTGCCTGCAAATTTTTGGAGGGCGCACATCCGGCCTCTCCTGCTATAGCTAAATGCAGTGACTGCGACTGCTGTTGCTGCTGCTGCTGCCAGAACCGGGGGTGATGTCTGCCTCAAGTAGAATGTACAAGCTCAGTTACATCTGTGTTTTGGTAGGCGGTGACCGCTATGAACTGTGTCTCTGGGAAGGTGAAAGTCTGGACCCTCCCTGGCTGGTTGGTATCCTCAGTACCATCTTCGTTCACTTCCACCACATGCAAGCGGGGCTGGTACTTGTGCAAAGACTGTAAAACCACCATCTGTCGAGCGGAGAGAAAAGAGGAGAGACCCAGCGGCAGGTTAAAACATTGTGCCTGTTATGCGAGTGTGTGCGTGTGCGCGCGTGTTTGCCGTATGAAGCATATTATATATTTTGCAGGACTTGCCTCTCCTCGCTAGTCTGCTAACTAGGGATAAGACCTCGCGATCTTACAGCTGTCAGAAGAGATCCGACTAGATCACCCTGAGGAAAATGTGACCAGAACAATCCACTCCTCAGGCCATCTCCTTTTCCCCCCGAAAGAGGGTCAAACCTCAAACCCAACCTGGAAAAATCCGGTTCTCCTTTCAGAAATCAATCAATTGGATATTTGTACTTAGGAAGCTGGGAGGATGTAGGGTAAGAAGGAAGGATTTATCCATGTTTCTTTGTTCATTTCATTTTGGGGGATTGAAATGAAATTTTAAAAGAGAAAAACACCAAATCCTTATCTTTCCACATAAGGGGAAAAAGTGTTCCGATTCTAGGCGGAGGTAGGGGGAGGGAAGAGATAATTTAGTTGTGAATTAGGTAGTACTATTTGTTTTTCTTTCTGGTAGTTGATTTTAAGAGCTTAGGGGAGAGCAGGGATTGGAATGTGCAAGGGAGCTCTCTCTCTTTCTCTCTCTCTCTCCCTCTCTCTCTCCCTGTGTGTGTGTGTATGTGTGTTTCACTAACCTGGCCATTGTTGTTTGAAGCTCCTTTGTTGTTTGTAAGTTTTAATTTCCCAAAAGAGATTTCTTGGCGCATCCAATGAGCCCCTGTATTGGGGGAATCGGGATGCATATAGACCCGGTTTCCTAGAGAAACAAACACACATTGCTTACACATGCACACCCCCACTCCCTGCCACCGTGTTCAAGAACACACATGCATACACAAGCACACGCACACCTTGAGTCAGTAAATCATATTAGATGGGAGTTTTCAGGAGGCACTTTTTTCTTTTTATTAGCTGTAAATGATTAAAATAGCTTTTGCATAATCTACTCCCCCTCTTTCCTTTCTCTTCCCCCCCCTTTCCTCGTCTCTTTTTCTTAAAAAAAAAAAAAAAATTGGCCAATCGTTTTTAAAGTCGCTCGAGCCAGTCCACAAAGGCTTTAATTAATCATTCTCACCTAAATATGTGTCAGAAAAAAGTGTTAATTGGAAGAACTTGCCTTGTACATTGGTGTCCGCTTTGCCGCAAGGAACCCATTTCCCTCCTTGAAATCTCCAGTGATTGGGGTCCGCCAAAATTACATCCACAAAAATATTGTAATGAGCCGTGGGATCCAGACCAGAAATGTTGAAACTTAAAAAAGGAAACATGCGCCTATTTAAATTAAAAGGAGGGAGGGAAGAGGAAGAAGAAGATAACGGAAGAAAGAACCATTAATGTTAAAGATTTTATGCAAAACAAAAAAAAACAAAAAAACAAACAATGCCCCAGAAGCTAAGGCAAAACTTGCTATGGTAGCATAGCTTGCCGAGTTAAAGAAAGGACCATTCGAAAGAGGGAAAAAAAAAAAATCGTAAGGGACCTGGGGAGTGAGTGTAGGGGGAGTCAGGGAGCTTGGAGTGGCATGAGCCGCAGACCTTTCCTCTCTCCTCGGAGGAGACAGGCAAGGAAGGAACCATACCGGCTCAGTAGAAGAATTCATCCTTCTCCAAGTGCCAGTGCGCAAGCGGCCCTTTCTCATCTTCTACCCTGGTATCTCAGATCTTTGTTCTAAATCTCACCTTTGCCCTCGGGGTTGTCACCACCACATACACATAGATCCCTCCACTATCTTTTTTGAAAGCTAGGAAAATCGGGGTGCATACCCCTCCAATTCCGATTCCCCCCCCCACCCTCGTTGCCTCAGACGCCACCATCCTGCGGACTGTCCGCTTGCCCAGCAGGCAGCTGTTCTAAGAGCAGGAGCAGCAACAGTAACAGTAGCAGCAGCAACGAATGTAGCTTTTACCTTCCCTGTTTGGTGATGATCATTTCTGTTTGATGTCGATGAAATTTCAGCCAGAGTGGTCTGTTGCACAAGTAGACCTGAGCTTTGCCGGGTACCAGTCCCGGTTGAGTAGAGGAGAACTGATAGAAAGGCGCTCCTTGGTAAGAGTGCCCATACTGTTGAGGGTAAGGATAACCTGCCGCTGGATAGCCCTGTGGCGAAGAATTGGACAGGAGGCTGTTGTAAGCTCCATTGGTGATCACGGGGTGGTGTGCCATGTAGCGACTGGGGCTGCCGATAGAGAAGGCAGGGTGCGCGGGTCCATGCTGGCTGGGGTAAGGGAACATGGTACTGGGAGCAGTGGCAGCGGACTGGGGCTGGCTGGACTGAGAGAGGAGATAGCGATCTGCAGCAGATCCATCGAAACTATGACGAAGCTCAGAGACCCCGTCCAAGACAGGAGAGAGTTTACTTCTCTGGACGTCCCCTGGTGAGTCCTTGGAGTCAGGAAAATTGTCTGTATCTGACTGATTCGTCATCCCCCTGGTAATTTTTTTCAAAGGTGAACTTCTCTCCAGGTTGTCAGTGGTCGAGATAATGGGATGATCATGCAAGACAAGCTCAGATCCGCCTGAATGTGGGTAACTGCTGCTCACATTGAGAAATTTCTTGGAGAGCATGATAGAAGGAGAAAGACAGTGCTCCAGCTGCATAGCTCTAGAACCAGAGCAATCGCCCTCCCTTCCCTGGTTTTTAAAGTGCTATTTATCATAAACTAGAAATCCACAGACCCCCTCACTAGACGGAAAGCACTTCAACCAGCAAATGCTTCTCAAAGGTTTGATTTACTTTTTTTTTTTCCCTGGGAGAAGAGATTGGCCAATTGACACTATGCAGCAATCAGAAAAGGCTCACTTTTGATCTTGCTGCCGGTGCAGCCGATGAAACGGCTTCTGCCATTGGTTAACTGCTGACAGTAATTTAATTAGATAGACATTAATTAGGATAATCACCTGGCTCCTGGTCGCGATGATCATGGCAATTTAAAGGAAATGATTTTATTGTGGGCAATGGGGGGGAAAGTGTGTGTTGGTTCTACGTGATCATTGTTGTGTCACCTTTAAGCTTTGTGACCACTGCGTTAGGAAAATTCAAAAGACTTGCCATTTACTAAACATTTTTCAGCCCCCTCCCTTCTTTTGGGTGGAGGGACGGGGGAGGGGATTCGATGTTGGGAGACTTTTCAGTTTTGAATGAGCCAAATATTCAGTTGAATGTAACCATTTTCAAAGTGCAAAGTATACAAACCACGAGCCGGTGGCCTCAACTAACCCTGTAAAAGTTCCAGAATTTGTCTTTTCCAGCTAATACAAAAGTACACAATACCTGAGTTAGCCCTCATGTGTATCTTATGCCTCCCCCTTCACTCTATCTCTCCCCCCACCTTCTTTTCAAGAATTAGCCGCTGCTCGGAACGGTCGTGGTGGGGAGAGTGAGTGTGGTGTGGGAGGGGACGGAGTGGGCAACCACAGTACCCAACCCACCCACTTCGGGAAGGTTTCGTTTCTGGGTTGAGTACAGATACAGTGACAATATATGATCTCATTTTTAGGTTTTGAAATAATAATAAGCTGTTGAGCTGAAATGTCTTAATGTATTTGCAGTGATGTTTACGGGTTCCTTAGTAAATAAATATTTTATCTCTGTGCTTGAATGCAGATTATATGAGGAGCATCTAACTGATGCTATGTTCAGGCTTCTGCATTTCTTGACATTGGAGGTCCCCTGGCGTGACCACTGGATCAGAAGCAACGCTGGGAAAAGGGGATGGTTCCCTTTGTAAGTACAATTGTCAGAAGCAGTGGTCTTGGTAGACACAAAATGGAAGTAGTGTCAAAACTACGATCACTACTAAATGGGGAGGGGGAGGGACTTGGATTTAGAGAGAAAATTAACCCATGTCTAATTTTTAAAAGGGGGGGAAGAAACCCCTAATTTAAAGGGGTTTTTGACTAATAATTAGAACCAGGCCTGATGCCACCTCGTTGTGTAGAGGGAATAAGATTATCCCCAAATGACTGTCATAGCTAGATAAAAGATAGACGCCCAGCGCTCCCTGGCTCGGGGGAAGCGGGCATAGGAGGACAGAATTTGATCAAACCTGCTTCCCCACTGCAGGGTGCACCCTCAGCCCCGCCCTCCTGCCGTTTTCTTCGCCTGACTGTGTGTGGTGGGTGAAACGGGAGAGGAGGAGCCGCAACCTGAACATCGAGGTTTCAGCCCAGACAGGTCTGTGAACTCTCCCTCGGGTGGACGCTCAGCTCTGTCCACCAGCAGGTGCGCCAGTGCCCTGGGAGCCAGCGCGATGTGCGCTCGAACTGACGTGCGCGCACCTCCCACCCTTTTTCCTCTCTTCACTCCGCCTCATTGTTCTTCAGCCCGCAGCAACTGCTGTGCCGTGGCTGAGATAGAGCGGGCTTCCCCCCTGCACTCAGCCTGCGAGGAGGAGTCACCCACCTGGGCAGAGGGAGGGAAGCTAGGCCGGGGATGGGTAACGAAACAGCGCCTGGAAGGGCTCCTGGCGGTGGGATGGGATGGGGTACTCGCTTCTTGCCTGCCAGTGTTTCGGGGAGGGAGACGATAGCTCAGCCAAACTGTCTTCCCTGAACTCCTGTTCTGCAGACAGGACGAGCTCAGCTTTGCAGGAGCAACACCTCCTTGTAGCCAGGATCAGCCATAACTAGGAGACCAGAGTTGTAGCATTGGAATGGTAGTGATATAAGGAGAGGGGTCAACCAGGCTCCTTAACATTATGAGCTCTGGGCACAATGGTTAAAATCTAAATAAAGTGGTTGTGCAAAGTGGTCAACCCACAATACTTTGTGCCCCGGGTTAAATAGGTAGTGGGGAGAGTCACAGACTGCAAAAGCTACCAACTGGGGCCTTGGACTGCGAGCCAAGGAGGGGGAGTGGGGAGAGGCGAACATATTCGAGGTCTGCTCATGCATTCCAAGGCCACCCAGTCACAGGGACAGAGAATTTTCTAGAACGGGGAAAAATGCAGCAAAGCTTCCCCCTCCAAGAAGTAAAAGTGAAACATTTGATCTGGCTTATTTCATGCCAGTACCCTAATATTCTGAGATCTTTGGGATTTAACTCCAGCGACAGGATGGTTGGGTCTCTAGTCCATAGACCTGTTATATTCACGACTCCCTTGGCTGCCTCGTTTGGAAAAGAAAACACATGGTGGGAGGTGGGCAAGGCAGGGAGAGAAAGCCACGGAGTACTAAAGCTGAAGTCTACAGGTAGAAAGAATATTGGATTTGGAAGTCAGGCGGCCTGGATTACTATCTCAGTACTCCTTTACCTAGGACAAATCTAGGCCTCTTTATCTGTAGAGGACTAGACTAGGTACCTAAGGTTTCTTCTGATTCTAAATACAAAAATGCCCTTCCCCTATACTCCGTTTTGAACACTCTCCAGAGGTTGGTGCTGGGATTTGATTTTGAAGGCTGAAGGAAAAATCCGGGTGAGGTGTGAGGCTGGGGAAGGAACACTAGGCACTCCTGAAACTGTCTTAATTAAATGGATACAAAGAGAAACTTGCTCATTCTCTGCTTTGTAGTTACCAGCACCAAATGTGATTCTCTGAACATGGTTTACAAAATAAAGATTTATCCAAGAACTATATACTATAAGAAAAATCAGGACACTGGAGGTAGTGTTTTCCTTTAGGTAAGCTGTATACAATGTAGTTTATTCTGTTAGATGGATCTTCTGTGCATTACTGCAATAGACATTTGTCAGGCCTTTTATTTATTTAGCAGCTGCTTCAGGAGGGAAAGTGCTTTGAACTAGAGTTTAGGTAACCTAAATTCAAAGCTGTAAACTAGGAAAACCAGAGTTTTGATTTTAATGTGATTAGCAAGGTCTGTGTTTGGGAACAGTTTGCCTGGGGAGTCAGGATTGGAGATGAGGGTCAGCAGAGAAGTGCTGGGTGTTTAAAAGAAATAGGGAACTATAAAAGGCAGGAGGATGGGGAAAGGCTTTTCAAACTTCTTGGACTTAAGAATTTAAGTCCAAGTCCTTAAGACTTAAGGATTAAATTGAGAGTTAACAATTTTTAAAAAGGGATTCAGTTTAAAGCTATTTGTACTCCCAATTTGAATCCATTAAGAAAAAAGCAAAACAAATTAAAAAAAACAAAACACCTCACTGGGTCATCTCTTAAGCTACCATACCTTTATCTGAGAAAAAAAGAAGTGTTTCAAAATACACATACTACAATATTCTTTACATTCAGGTTTATGCTAGTTACGTAAAGCAAAACAGCCACTTTTTTTCCTGATACTGTGAATCTGAGTGTTATATACCTGCTCCCTGTTACATTCCCATAATAGCTGACATTTAAAGTAACACTTTTATGGTTTACAAAGTGCTTTACATAATAATGTAATCTCACTGGATCCTGTGAAATAGGCCCTACAGGTATTATCCTGATTTTACAGATGAAGACATGAGGTTCAAAGGTTAAGGCCCTCGCCCAAATTACACGAGGTAGGATGGGAACTAAGGTGTCTCCTGATTCCACATTCAGTGCTACATTAAGTTCTCATCTCAATTCAGGCACTCAGTATGAACATATCCACCCCTTTAGTACCTAAACCATGTTGACACTCTATCCATTTCAACATGCTTTCCAACAGGAGGTAGCTTTTGTGATGGCATTCCAACCAGTCCATTCCATACACCAAAAATCAACAGTCCTATCTTTTATTATCTTTGGGAAATCCGAGTAAGCCAAGGCAAAAGCAAAAGTATGTAAGAGACTTTAAAAAAAATGTCATTTAGACATATTGGAAATTGAGTTGGTTTTCACTTAAATTCTGGGTTATATATACCTGGCTACCTAAAGGCCCACAGAAAAGCTTAAATCCCTAATTTTAGTCTACAGTTTCATTCACAAAACTTCTCTACTTAAATTTAAACTTCAAAAATAACTAAAACTTTCCTGAAACTTTAGAAAACATGCTCATCCAAGAAACTGTCTTGTCAGGCTTACTAGGATCATAGGAGCTTGGTAGCTTTACCAATAACTTTTTGGGAAGGGAGAGTTCAATATTTGCCTAGACATTATATAATAAACTATTTAAGAACCACCTTTGCCAAGCTCTTTATGAGTTTCTATATACATAATGCTCTGTGATTTAATTTGTCACAACCCTATGGCAAAGTAAGTTTTTTGTTTGGTCCAGGCCTGAAATTTTTTCCATGTAAGGAACTCCCCATCTGGAAATTCTCTCCACCAATCTGTTTAGCCAAGTAGACTAATTAATAGCTTTAGAGATAGATTGGATAGTTAGAGGTTAAATGACTTGCCTGAATGTCACAGCTAGTATGTACAAGAGGTAGGATTTGAATACAGGTCTTCCTGACTCCAAAGCCAGTCTTCCATACACTCAGACTGCTTTTGGGTAGATAGTACAAGTGTTATTATTTCATTTGACAGATGAAAAAAACTGTGGCTCTAATTGATTAAGCAACTCACCAAAAGAAGTGCTAGGTACACAATGAGGAACAAATTGCTTAACGACAATCATTACCATTTCAAGCTGGAAGCTGATTTTAAAGGAAAGGCAGTATTTTGGTAACATTATTGTTTAACGCTTGGAAGACAGTATGATTTCAACTGCAAGTGCCTAACCCAAGAATCTTAAAGAATTTATAGGGGTCAATTAGATGTCTTTTGTCTTTGTGTCTTCAACACCAACCATACAGTCTCCCTGGGCTCAAAACTGTCATTTTAAGTCCTTAATGCTTAAAAAAAAAAAACAAACAACCTGAAAACCCAATTCTCCCCCCCTTCATAACATTTATTTCATCTAAATCTTGAAAGCATAATATATGCGACATGAAAAAAAAATCTTCAGCATGGAATTTCACCTGTTCTTGAATGTCTTGAACAAAATGTTAATGTACATTCTTTTTCTGGGTTACATGTGAGAGCTGCAAACTAATGGCAACCATTTTTCATTTGTGAAGTTTTGTTATCACACTGATGTTTTATGTGTTATAAGAGCTTCAGAATGTAAAGGAAAACACATCTCATCTGTATGAGCTTCCTAGAGTGTTGTCAAATGTAATACTGTCAATTCCATTCAGTGCCAAAAAGACCTCAGGAGACTAGATAGATTGTAAATGTATTTTTATTATGTAGCAACAATCAAAATATATATGTACTACTGATTTCTTCAAATATTAAATGGTAACTCAATAAAATTTGTCCACTTTGATGTATTCTTGTACTACTTTGGAATCTGCAAAGATCCTGACCTAAAGAAACAGAAGTAATTGCACAACAGAGACCCAAAGGTGTTACAGTGCTGCTCTTGGACTGCAAATGATGCCAGATGTCTTCCATTTAACCAAATACACCTTCGGCAGTCAACTGATTGTGAGCGTTAGAAACAATAGACGAATATACACTGAAAGTATCACTAATGGTTTTCTGCTGTTTTTTATTTGAATACAACAGTATCCAACATAGCTGCTAAACACTGGACAATATTTGAGGTCATAAGAACATCCACGTGTTCTTCCAAATGACGCTTTGGGTCCTAAAAGCAAAATAAAAGGAAAAAAAAGGATATTAGCAGGAGAGAAAAGTAGAATTATTTTGGTACATTTACATTTCAGTAATTGGTAATAATGCAAATGGAAAAATTGAGATAAACTGTGTTACACATATAATTTTCTACAACTCATAACTTCAAGTCATACTATTTATTGTGTTTAATTCCATTTCCAAGACAGCAGATTAGTTTATATCATCACTGTTAATTACATTCTTCCAGAATTTGGTTTTGAAATGTACAATAACGAATTCTATATACTCTTTGTTCATTTGGAAAAAAAGGACTTCTCTGTTACACACATGTAAATGAGCAAATCTTTTAAGAATAATATACAAAAGATATATGCCTAAAAATCCAGCATCATTTTAATAAACCTTGTTCAATATGCTTTGTTTTGACTGATGCGGAAAAGAGATTTTTGTATTAAAATTTACAGCTTGAAGTTGAGAGAATCTAAATACTAATTTTAGCAATTTCATACATAAGAAGTCTTGATAAGGCCATTTGGCTAAATTTTGCCGCTAGAAAAAAAATGATTAAACTAGGATGGGAGAATTTTTCTTTTTTTGGCATTTTTATAAAGGCTAAGAGAATTAAAGCAAAAACCATTATGTTTCTGTTCAAATGCAGTTTGCAACTGAATATAAAAAGCTCTGAAAGAGATGGTGTGTAATGGATACAATAAAGAAATCTTTAATTAAAACAATGCTAATAGGTGTTACAGTAATACCCAAGACTCTCAACTTTATACAGGTGGAATAATCACTTGGCTATGCCTTCAAAAGCTGTTTGTTCAAGATCCTGAGGTCATTCATACCACTTAATTCTCACAAAATGCAGCCAGCAATTTCAAACAGATAAACCACAATACAGTATATTGTTCAATATCTCTGGAGAGAATTAAAGCATAAAAAGTGATGCAGAAAGACAGACTTGCAAAAGAAACAGAATAGAAGTTTGGGTTTTAGGTTTTTCTTTTCTTTTCTTTTTTGCCTCATGGAGAAGAGGCCAAAACTGAAATACTAAGATCTTTTGGATGATCCTTATGAGCATAAAAAGTGCCAATTTTTCTCATTTCACTTATTTTAATTAGCTACTTCCTTTTCCCACTAAATGGAAAAGAAAACCCAATATTAATAGATCAAGTAAAAAGAAGTTACAAAGTATTTATCAGTGAAAACAATAGAAAGAGAAAAATGCCCTCAAATACTAAAAGTACTTTATATCCTATAGCAAAAATAATTGCTAAGTACTATGGAAAATTATCTACAAGCCACAGATAAGAATTCCTAACCCCACAAAAACTAGTAAATATATTTGAGGTATACCAGAAACTTAAAAACAGAATTACATACCATATATGTAGCAAAACACAATACGACATATAACCAACATATACAGAAAACAGGAGGCATAAGAAAAGCTTATTTGATTATGTTTCCCACTATTTTTTTTAAGGATAAAAGAATATCTAGGGCATAAGAGGATCTTCATTTATTACATTTAAAGGTGAACTTTGCCCTTAGTGTTTTACTAGGATAACTGGCTCTAAACTGGTAACATCCTCTCCCCAGTCATCTACACTACATTCTTGTGGCAGCTGGGTATTTCTTAGAGATTTCCCATCCAAGAATGGTCCTGGCCCAAACCTACATAGCTTGTGAGATGTGATGGGATCACAGCATATGGTAGGATGGCTGAAAGCAAAGACAGCTTAGTGTCTTGCATCTGAAATAGCGGGATTCTGCCAACATCAGCAATATGATAACCATGTTCCATGGAATGGAAAAAAAAAAGTAATCAATGTTCTTTAAAAAACAGTCTCATTAATCTGGAAAGTCTCCTAATAGGTGAGATTGTTATTTTTCCCTTGCCCCAATGATGGGTAATAAAATGTCTATTTCCCTTAGGTAAAACCCAAGACTATCTACTTCTGAAAAACAATGACATATTCTTAAGTATCTCAATCCTGTCTCCCCCCACCCCTGTTTTGGGGTAACAGAGCATAAGTAACCATTTAAATCGGTATGTATGTGATTTTATTTCAGTTACCACACAAATGGTAACTGAATGATCAACAGATGTTTAAAAAGCAACTTGGATTATTAGTTTAGAGCCAAAATTTCTTTTAATACTTTAAAAATTTATTCTTTTATTAACTAATTTAAACAAAACCACTATCTTAAAGGTAAGTGAATCATTTGGTATTTAACTTTTTAAAAGATAAGAAATACAGAAATAGCATCAAATACCCCTGAAAATGAACTTCCTGTTTCCTCAATCCAAAAAACATTTATCAAGTACCTATTGTGTGTAGAGGCTTGGGGGAGAAGTTTACATAGGACACAATCTCTGCCCATAGGGAGCTTAAAATCTAGTAAGGAGAAAACTACAATAAGATATGATAAGTGTTAAAGACTTAGAAAAAAAAAGTTATATTTGATGGCCAAGGCAGAAGGTCCTTACCAATTAAGGGAATCAGGAAGATCTTCAGAGAAGAGATTCAAGTTGGGATTTAAAGGCTCAGGAGGAATTTAACAGGAAGTACAGTGACTGTTGGCTGGACTGGGGTCAGGGAGAAGAGCACTTACACTTGTTTGAAGCAGAATAAACAGAGGAATGATAGGAAACAAAAGTTGGAAAGGTCATGAATGTAGGTCAAAGAAAAATAAAGCAGTGGACAGAAAGAGGCAAAGAAAGTTCCCGGTACAGACCCCAAAATACGGTTGGACAGTTCACAAAGCCTGCTACCGTATAACGTGGTCCATCTCACCTGCTTGCCAACGTTCTTTATTGCCAGCTGTTCAGGTGTCATCTTATCTTCTTCTTCTACCGCCTGTAAATGAAAGGTCAAGGTCAGCATTTTTACTTTTGTTTACTTTTTGCACAGCATAAAAAAAAAATCATCAAATAAACAATAATAACCTTCATTCATAGGATTCAAAGAACTGCATTTTAGTGATACGCTTTTGTTAATCTTCGCAACTTCGTTACTATCAATTTGAAGACTTAAGAGACATATTAAAAAGTATGCAAAATCATATTGTCACCATTAAAAATCAAATGCTTTGAGAGTCAAGAAACTGCTAATGATCTATTTTTAAAGATTAGATAGCCTATAATATGGGTGACACTCAATGGCATTTGAAGGAAGTATTGGTTGTATTCTACCAGTGTATTAGATGAACTTTAATGGGCTGTTCCTTCCAGCTCTGTGATTCATTCATAGAACTGAAAACAAATGGGAACAAAGCAATAACTTGGAAAGGAAAGGGAAATCCTTCACAATACTGGTGACCACAGAAATGGAGACAAAAGGAACATGGTACAGATACACAAATGCAAGGTACCTATTGTGTATTTCAAATTGATCGTCTTAGTGCCAAATTTCCTCACATTTAGGAAGTTCAATCCATCTTCAAATGTTTTCCATAAATTGAGAAGTTTGGCCACATTTCACACATTCTTAATGGTTTTATAAACAGAGAACTTGAAAATGAGCAAGGATGGCAAGTGCATAAATTTATAAATGGATAAGCTACCTAGAGAATTTGCCCCAGCAGAATCATCCCCAAAAGAAAGGATGATAGATTAAGGATTGTATCTACTAATTATTAGATTATATTTCTTTAACAACACACATTAAAAAAAAAACATTATGACTCATAAAAAATGAGCAAAGAAAAAATAGCAATTAATAACACTTCCCCAATTGGGAATCCCTAGGGTAGTAAGTATGTTCATTTTCAAGGTTGGATGTCATTCCTATTATTTCCAGATAGTATAAATTTGATTTTTAACTGGAAACTCCCTTCTCCATGTACCCTAGGTGTTATGCGGATTTCCTTGTTAAGTCATATTAATAATGTTGTGAATCTCAGCTGGGTTTGGCTTACATGTATATATTGGTTATACTAAGAGTAATTAAATGGCTAAGACTCTGACATACAAATTTACTTTTAAAAAAAACCCAATGACATTATATACTTTCCTCCATGAATGTGAAGCCAGGCTTCAAATCTCATCTGAAGGACAGTATCTAACACGTTGTACTCTATGTTCATTCAATAATGAAAATGCCAATAACAGTGCTTAGTATAATATTTGAAGAAGACAATAATTGTGGAATTTGGCTCAATCCACTAATCCATTAACAAAATAGCTATTAAGAAATTATTTCTTAGCACTATACATATTTCCAGGTAATCTAAGTAGGTGCAGGTGAACAAGCCCTAGCTCATAAAGTGACTAAAACTGTTTATACTCTGTAGCTACCTTATAAATTACTTCCCCCCCCCCATTTCCAATAATCCCCCTGGAGAGAGAAAGAAATGCTCACAAACTCCTTGTTAAATGCAGATGGCAAAAAGTACTCCCAGCCATAGCTGCCATCTGGGAATTGAGGAGCAGCTGTACATTTAGGCATATACCAAGGTTGCAAACCTTCATGGCAAAAGGGTAAGTATATTCCGTTCAGTAGTAAGGGAGGCCAAACTTACCCACCAAAAGCCCTAAACATTTCTTTCATCTACTTGCATTACCTCTATTTGTATAGCTTAAGACCAGACCATTTTGTCTTTGCTCATATTCCTAGTCTGGCCAGTCACCAGAAAAATTCAGAAATGGTAGCAGTAGAATTAAATGAAATTCAGGCACAGGCAGTGTCCTCACTAGGGAACTTCTGTGTTTATGGCAACTTCTATGATTTGGCGTCAAATTTTGCTTTTGCATTCATGTTCATCGGTTTACTCAACCAACAAAAAGCACTGAAAATGTTTGTGGCTATTCACACTAGAAACGTTTATAACAGTTTATCAACAAAGACCCCCAGATGGCTATCCCATCGTGCACTGTCTGCACAGTTCTTGAAAATTCTTGGAACAAGGTCTGATGCATGATCATAATCCCCCTAAAAGTCTCCCCTGTCTTAAAAAGCTTTCACTCAACCCCTAAACCTCTAATATCATTCCACCTTTTTTCTTTTTCTTCTTTAGGCACCTGTGGCTTCAATTCTTATCATTTTAGTAAAACTACTCTTGTGGAATCTCCTCCAGGTCAAATCCATTGTGTTCTTTTTAGTTCTCACTTTATTTCACCTCTTCAAAACAACTAACCATCTGGTTTCCCTGTGATATTCCATAAGCTCAGTTTCCTCTGAAATAATGTGTTATTCTTAATGTCTCTCTCCCCACTCTTCCCATTCTTCTTTCCCTGTACCCATTAACTATAAAACATCCCACAAGGCTCAGTCCTGGGCACTTTTTTCTGCTCTTCCCCCTACAAGCTGCCATTTAAACATATAACTCCAACCACTACTATGTATGGGGTTACATCTCCTACATCTCATTAACAACTAATATGTGACATGTCAAAAACAACCCTAACATCATCACCTCTCCAGTCACTTCTTCCCAATTTCCCATTACTGACAATGAAGCAATTACTTCTCATTTCCTCAGGTTGGCTTATAAGGATGCTTCTAAGTGTCAAGCAAATAGAAACATATCTGAACCACAACTCAAATATGAATGTTCTAATTCAAAGTCTCTTCTTTCTTTATTATATACCACAATGCACTTGACACCTCAGAAGTATAACATCGAGAACACGGTGCCAAGAATTCTACAAGAATGATAAAAGGAAGGGCTGTGGAATTAGTAAATAAGGAGATAACTAGTGGTTTTTAAGAGTATTTATGAGGAATGGTGGTGAAACTCAGACTGCAGAGGTTTAGGGAGTAAGAAGGGATTAAAGGAAGCAGAGGTAGAAGTTGTAGGACCCTTGTTTGAGAAGTTTTATGGGGAAAAGGTAGCTAGAGGACTGAGAAGGAATTCTTTACTTAAAGATGGGGCAACCTCTGCAAGTTTGAAGGCATAGAGGAAAGAGTCTGAGAATTGAGAAAAAAGGTAGTGGAGAGAAAATGGATTAGTTGCAGGAGTGGGCAACCTGTGGCCTCGAGGCCACATGTGGCCTTCTAGGGCCTCAGGTGCAGCCTTTGGACTGAGTCCAAGCTTTACAGAACAAATCTTTTTATTAAAGGGATTTGTTCTGTGAAGTTTGGATTCAGTCAAAAGACCTCACTTGAAGACCTTGAGGGCCACATGTGGTCTCGAGGCCCCAGGTTCCCCAACCCTGGATCAGTGTGAAAACAAAACCCTTCAGAAGACAGGAAGAGGTGAGACTAAAGGCACAGGTACTGCCTTTAGGTAGAGGAAGAGTCTCCTTTGAGACTAGAGGAAAAACAAATACAGTATTACAGTCCAATACAGGCCATACTTTTTCTTATGACCTCCCCCTCCCCCATTGTGTAAAACTTACATGTAGCCTATAATTGCACTTTTAGTACCACAAATAGTACTTAAGCTTTCCTGGTTTCCCCAGAAGTAGCAGAAGCAGTATCAGCGTTTTCCCTCTGGCCCACACACCTGCTGGAGAAACCTGCCATGAATGTTCCTACTGTTACAAAACGAGGGAACCTAAATGGATGACTTTAGCAAGAATCTTCCTGAAGTCATATTTAATGATGTCATCCCTGTGGTCTAAAACCTAGAGCAACTCCTAAAAGCTTTTTACAGTGAGTTTAAACTCCTTACTATGTACTCATGACCCATGAATCAACTGGCCTGAATGACTTTCTAGATCAAGGTATCTTATCTATTTAAGAGTCACAGAGTCAATAAACATTTTCAAAGCACCTACTAAGTTCCAGACACCGTGCTAAGTGCTAGGGATATAAAAAAAGGTATAAGATAGTCCCTGCCCTCAAAGAGCTCATAATCTAATAGTGGAGGCAAAACATATAAAAAGAAAGTGAAAAACTAGGGAGGAGGGGAAGGAGAACTCAGATTGGGGGTATGAAGAGGTCATACAGCTGGGAAGGGAAATGATCTGAGGAGGTGTGAGTTTTGAGTTGATTTCATCTCGCAGAAAGATGAGTTTCTGCAGATGATGAAAACCAGAAAAGCAGGTGGGTGGGAAATGATGAGAGAAAATTCCCTAGGTGCCATCCTTAAATGAGGAGGATCAGGGTCCCCGCTGTCTAACTTTCCACCTCTCTAACCAGAGGGAAGGAAGGACCCAAGGGACAGGGAGCGCTGAGGACATGTGAGTCTCAGAGTTGATTTCATCTTTCAGAATGCTAAATTTCTGGAGATGATGAAGTCAGGAAAAAAACAGCTGGCTGGAAAATGATACTTTTGTGTCAACAACCCCTTTGGCAGTCTGGCGAAACTATGGATCCTTTTCTCAGAAAATGTTTGTAATTTATTTCAAAACAAAATATCTGATATAAATGTTTATATTTTATATTATCCATTGTAAATGGATAATATAAAATACAAATTAAAAAATTAAAAAAAATTAGGATTACAAAGGAAACCAATTATATTGAAATACAGTTATTGAAATAGTAACAATTCTGAGAACATGGTCCCTCTAAGATCTCCCCCAAGAAGCCTGAGGACCCCAGGCTAAGAATCCCTGGTTTAAATTAATTTCTTGTTTAGCAACGGTTTCAATTCTTCAAGTATTATTCATTTTTTACAGATAAGGAAACCGATGCACAGAGGTGGGAAAACCCAGACCTCTGGACATCATGACATTTCCACCATACCAAGCAAGCTTGACTTCTCTTGCCAAAAATGTCTCTTCACTTGCATCTTTCCTCTTGAAGAAAAATATATTTCTACTATTTTGTGTCTTCATGTACCTTTCCTCCCTCAAAATCTTTGTACCATTTCTTTGTAATAAGAAAAGAGTTGAAAATCACATGGTAAATTAGATTAGTGTAGAAAACCAATATGAGCCCAAAATGAAAAATATTCCTAATATTTCTAC